TCCTGCTGATAACCCTCGCAATTCGTGTCCGCGACATTAATATCAGAGTCATTGATATTCTCGGAAGATACGGAATTTGCAAGAGAATGTCTCTACAAGGAAAAAAACACGGAGAATAACCATTTAATGATGCCGGAAGAAACAAACTAAATAGACAAAAGTCATGAATATGAGACCGTGAAGGGTTTTAACAAGCCAAAGTAGTTTTGTTTCAGCAACCTGTCTACTCTTTGTTGTGGAAACACTGTGTGGAGATTTGTTAGTGACAGACTCCGACAAGCTGCCCTGTGACAGTTCCAGGCTCCTTCGAATGAATCCAACCATGTCAGTGGGCATCGACGCTGTGCGAGTAACAATATCAAAATCCGGAACCTGTCTCCATAAAAAAATTGAGAAGTCAAGCTTTTTTCAGGAAAAAGAAAAACAGAATGGACCGTTCGATATCGAGCAAAACCGTTTGGTTAATAACCGTCGCACCGCCACATTTCCAGAGTTCTTACGTTCAAGCATTTTGATCTTGCTTTCATGGAGAGAAGACGGATGCACATGCACACTTTCCGAGTGTTCTTTTGCTCGACAACATCAGACGGAGAAAAGACGTCAATTCCGCTCAAACCCAGTATCTTGCATACCTAAGAAACGAAAACGGAAATGCATCAAAACTTTGTCATTTATGTTCAAGAACAATAAAAACGAAAAATTAATAAGATTTCATCATGCTCTTTTGGATGGTTGCAAGCACCAAATCCATGAAAAGCTACCGGCAAGACAATGGATATCATGTCTCATCATGGAAAGAGATGCTGGTTTTCAGAGACTGGACCAGGGAAGCTTTCAGAGTCCCACATCGACGATATGTGAGGACAATTGAGGCTATAGACATTCTCCCCCAATAAGTTAGCTTTTAGGTTGAGTTATATCCATGGACTTTGGGGTTCAATTGGACCCCTTATGGGTGGGTTCTATCAATTAGTATTAGAGTCAACCGATGCTCGGATATGCAGACAACGCGGCGGGAGAAGAACGGTCGGGAGAGGAGTACAACGTTGCGTAGCTGCCAGCTAGCTTTTAGGGTGGATTCTATCCATAGGTTTTGGGACGTAATTGGGTCCATTATGGGTGCTTACCAAAAGCACAAAGAAACAAAGAACATGGTTAAGTAGAGAAGATCAAAGAGACGGAGCGAATATCGTTTGAGACGAAAGCACAATAAAACAGGATGGCATTTCTATAAACACTAAACCAACACGAAAAGAGAAATCTAAGGCTCAAAGCTCTCACCTTCAGGAAGGAATCAACGTTGCAGTACGGCGTGTACCTCCCACTGTGTCTCCTCGAAGCAAAGGGATCGTACTTGAATGGCTTCAGATGTCCAAGTTCCGTCCTCCTCGTCAACACCATCTCCCATATCGCCCGCGAAACCTCAAACCTATTCCGAGCAGTAGGAAAGACAGATTTCAGCTTCCTTACCACTTATATGTATAACGATTACATACTGAATGGGCGAGAGATGAGGGAGTAGACGTACAGCAACTCCCCATCAGAGAGCATCTCAGCAATGTTCTGGTGCTCGTTCAGTCTGGTCTGAAGGACTTCGCCGAGCCATATTTTTGTCTGCGTCTGCAATACCCATAACGACATGTACACAAGTCATTCAAAATATCACAGTTTACAACCAAGAAATGACCAAATGCTTGAGTTTATTTATTTAGGTAATCCAATGATGATGAGCTCATAATACCAAACTGCGTGGCCATTTTGGTTATAATAAACTGAATAGCCGAATCAAACTCAAACTAAGATATAATTGTAATCGAACCGAATCCGACATAAAAACTGAACTGAACGATTATGATATTTCTAAACTCGAAAAAACCGAATCTAAATCAAACCAAACCGAATAAAAAAATAACGTAAAAAAACCTGCAATTACTTTGAAAAAAATGAACTTTTAACCGTAAAAAACCGAACCGAAATTAATATAAAACCGAATGGCTTTACAGTTCTCGAATCTAAACTCGAAATGGCTACTCCTAATACCAAGTCTTCATATTTATTCTGAGGTACTCCTATGACCAAAGCTCAAACTCAAGAATTGACGGAGGAAAAACGATAACTGAATTGCACTCTTCGATTATTTTTCTTTTTTCAGGTGTTCGTATGTAAATCTGTAAGAAAACAGTACAAATCCACTACCAAACACAGTACAGTACATAGATTCGTCACCGCATCTCGGGGGAAGAAGAAAGAACAAGAGAGCCCACATGGGTCATACGAGATTTTCAGACGAGTTCCGAGTTGAGAAACGTAAACAAAAAGAGACAAATTAAAGCGAGCACCTGTAAGAAAACTTCATCGAGCTCCCGAAAGGTGGTTTCGGCGGAGGAGGACGGCGAAGACTCGCCGCTCGCAATTTTCCCGGTCGGCGGAGGGGGCGTCTCGGCGTCGAATTGAGGCATTTGGGAGGAAAAAAAAAGATTATTAATATATGAGAACGATAATGGGACGGAGTGGCGTATAGCTTTGACTAAATACGATGTCTGAAAATTAAAAAATAAAAAACAAATTGTTTTTTTTTTTCAATATATTTTTTGTCCGTAGCAGAGATGGTGGATCCTTTTGTACTCTTCTCGTAGAGATGACCCCACGAGGCGCTGAAGAACTTCCACGTTTCCGGTACGTACTCCTCTCAAAAAGCTTCTTGTCTTTTCTTTCAAATGCCTTGCTTTTGTGGTCTCGTTGTCTCCGACTCCCGTTTCCATTTGCCTTTTTAGCTTTTTTTTGGGAAAACATATTAATAATATCAAATTAAAAGAAGGCCTACAACTATTTAAACATATATAAATTGAAAAACTCGCATAGAATGCATTTTTAATCTAATTTCTCCATTAACACACCAGATTTTTGCTGCTTCACGTTTGAAAAACTCGCATAAAATGTATTTTATTATTTTGTGAAAAAATAAGCATATAAATTACCTCAAATTATTCTTTGAGAAAGCGTTTTTCTATAATAGTTTATAACAAACCACAATATCCATATCACAAATTTTTTAAACAAGTATTCTGTAACCGCAACATATCTTTGTGATAAAAGATTTATCTTTTTTTTTAAAAAAATATATGTTTTTCGATAATAGTTTTTTTTAATATGTGATTTAACCAGGGTGAGATTCGGATCTGCGATGGTATTGTTATAATTATTCCTAATAATTCGGTGGATCAACATATAATCAAATTAAGATATATATTATGTACTATTTTAATAAGATCATTTGTGATCTAATTAAGAATTTAGAGACCTAAATAGCATTTCAGAAAAGTATAAGATTTATGTGCTGATACCAATTATGTAATTATCATTTTTTTTATGGGTGAAAATGAAATTAAAGAAAATTTATTTTCTATAAATAGGGTTGTGGTCCGTGGATTGCAAAGCGTTGTGTTTTACAGAAATTCTATAGTGCCCCATATTCTGTAGAGTTATTGTGCTGTCACTTTGTTAATCCAGAAGACTTATTCCCGAAGTTATTCCCGAAATTTTCAGACACTACGAGATCCATCACAAAGATGGACTCAGGTATATCTTCGATCATATCTACAAATATATATGTTCTTATCATTTCAATATTATATGATCCATATTTTAATTCCGCATGAGACATGAATTTTATATGAAACCATTTAAAATTCATCAGGTATATACCGGTTCTTTCAAATTGATTGGTCATTTATTCGGATTTGGTTTAGACATCGGTTCTTCGTTTCGGTTGAAGGTTGTAGTGGTTTGTTATTTTTCCATTTGGGAACATCATTTACGTGTTATCTTTTCCGTTTGAATTAAAAACACTCGTTTTTTCATTTGTTCAGCATTCCTTATTTGTTCTGGTTTCAATTATAGTATGTAATATATCACAAACTCTGTTACTAAAACCATATATTGCAAATAAAGTTTGGAATATGATATAAATGAGGTTCAAAGAAATAAATTTTAAACGAGAAAAACGTGTTTTGAGAACAGTTTATCAGAGGTCATGTCATTGAACACTTCAAATCTCTAATGTTTCTCTTCATTTATAGTCCACCAAGATTCTTTTTTATAAGAAAAATCTCATATAAATACCCTAATTTTATAAAATATACCAAATAAATAACTATATTTTAAATTTTATCTAATTTATACATTAAATATTAAAATATTCTATATTGATATATAAAATGTTGAAATGTTTCAAATAAATATCTTAATTTTATAAAATCGATGATAATTTTCAATCTGTATTCCGATAATAATGTTATATTAGACTTTAATTTGCAACATAAAAAACGAAACTCACGAAATCGATAACAATTTTTAACATCGATCCTGATAATAATATATAAATTAGATGTTAATTCCAATATAAAAAATGAACCGAGATTATAAATTGGTCTCGATTTCTAGATATTCATCATTAGATATTAATTTGGCTTATTTTGTAATATTTAGATATTTATATGAGATTTTTTAAAATTTTTTATTGTTTTCTTAGCCTTTTGTTGCTCAATATAAAAAAGTTTAGATAGTGAGTGAAACTAAAAATAGTCAGTTATATTTATTTGAAAAAAAAATATTATGTACAATTTATTTTTTGTTAAAATCATATTCAACACGACACTCTTCATGAATTTCAAGTGAATTTTACTCAAATGACCCACTAGGGGGTAAAATCACCCAAATAACCTATTTAGGTCACATCTATTTCAGTGTACACCACTGAAAAAAAAGATTATTTCAATTTTAACCCACTTTTCGGTTAGAAAAGTCTGAAATACCCTTTTCGTTTTATTTTTTGTGACCTTATTACAACTAATATATAACTGATATACAACTAAAATAAGACAGATGATTTTTTTGCCACTTTTTTAGAATCAATTGTAACTATATTTAGACTTAATTACAAAGTCGTAATAACGAAGTTGTTTTCGAACGGATAAATATTGTAATTCATTAAGGGTAATTTCGTCTTTTCACAGGAAAAAAAATGTGTTATGTTTTCGGTGGTGTACAGGTGAAATAGATGCGACTCAAGTGTTTTATTTGGGTAAAAAAAACCCCACTAGGGTCGCACCTATTTCAAATGTACATCAGAAAAAACATAATTTTTTTTTTTTTTTGAAAAGACGAAATTACCTTTAATGAATACACGATTTTTATCCGTTCGAAAACAATTTCGTTATTACGACTTCGTAATTGATTCTAAATATAGTTACAATTAATTCTAAAAAAGGTGGTAAAAAAATTATTTGTCTTATTTTAGTGGTATATCAATTATATGTTAGTCGTAATAAAATCGTAAAAAATAAAAAGAAAATGGTATTTCGGACTTTTTTTAACCGAAAAGTGGGTTAAAATTGAATTTTTTTTTTATCGGTGGTGTAAGCGGAAATAGGTGGGACTAGGTTACTTAGTAAAATTCCCGAATTTCAACCCATTGTCATAATGAATTCTATTGACTGAAGTTCTTAATTCCGACTCTCTTCTCCATGATATAGCGACGCGACAAAATGGGTCGGAGCGTTTCGCGTTCGCGCTCTCGGTCTCCGTCGCACCGCCGGCGTTACTCTCGCTCTCCTGTAAGTCACCACCGAAGCAACCGCCGTAGCAGGCGCGATCGTAGCCGTTCACCGTACACGACAAGGTTCTCCTTTTCTCCATTTTCAGACATTTGGCTACTCAGAAACCATTGAATTAGATGGAATCGAGGAGAAACAGATTTCGTTGTAGCTTTGTTTGGATAAATTCTTTCAATTTGTGCCCATTTTGGGTTAATGGAGAACAGATGGTTAGGGGAAAATTAGGGTTTATGGTTTTTACATGTTTAAAACAGATTTTCACGGGGATCTGTGGAAGTGAAAATCTCCTGTTTTTGTTGATGCGCCTCAAATTGTTTAAAGCATCACCGTGCACACAAAAACCCTCTTTCTCTCTGTTGAAGCAGGACTTTGTAAATTAGAGGGAAAACAGACTTCTGTGCAGCTTTGTTTGGTTAAATTCTTCCAATTTGTGCCTTCTTGGGTTTATGGTGATTAGATGATGTGAGAAGCACCAGGGTTTAGGGTTCTTGTTTTGACTTTCTCTGTATCCAGACAGAACCTCGCTCTCTCTGTTTCAGTGCCACAGATTGTCTCAGGCATCGATGTAGCAGAAATCTAAAAGGAAGACTTAGTCTGGATATTTCTTTTTCTTTGTTTGTATTTTTTGTAACTTTGAATAAAAAAGGCATTTCGATAGCCTGCTCTTCAGGTACCCACCTCAATCAATCACCAAAGCAATGCAATTTTCTTTTGCGAATGAAAGGTCATTAGTTGTGGAAGAGTGGGTAATAATCTTGTATTTTTTTTAAGTTGTTTAATTTGTGCTGCTTATATGGCCTAACTTTTTACCGGAAGTGCAGAAGAAGAAGTCGCTCTAGTTCTTCGAATCGTCGTAAGAGTCGGTCTCCGTCTTATAGGCGCCGGAGGACCAGATCTCCTACACCAAAGCGAAACAGAAGACATAAAAGTAGCTTGTCACGTTCTCCTTCACCCAGATCCTGCAGTCCAAATAACGCCGGAGCCGAGCGTATAAGCGTGATTGAGAAACTAAAGAAAGAGGAGGAAGAGAGGAAAAGGTAATTCAACATTTTGCCATTTGATCTCTCTAGTATTTCCGTCTATTTTCCTACTTTTGCATTTGAATCGTGTATCGTATTTGGTTCCATGAAAATATACTGCACGTCATGGAATGAATAAAGTTTAAGTTCCATATAGGGAGGTATATAAACTCTACATAGCCAGTTGCCAAACGTCCATCTCCTTATTGATGAAGGGGGGCAACGGATTTATTACAGCAGAAAGAATATTACTGGACTATCCAAGTTTGTTCAACACATTGGTAGTACTACACTTTCTACTGCTAGAAACGCTATCTCCTTGCATGAAAGCATATATGTTTCTCGTTGTCTGGATATTAGAGAGTTTCTGAAAACAGTTCCTAGCTGGTTAGCAGATTGGCGTGTTCTTGTAGTACAGTTCATTAGCTCAATTCTCACTTTCATCAGCATTAAGTCCATCGTCATTTCGTTTCGAGAATAGACGTGATGTGATGTGGTTTATAATCAGTGTGGAATTCTAAATAATACAATCCTTAAATTCTATTGTTAGCTATTTCTGCCAAACTTCTCTAGGTTGGAATCTTGTTTCATGTGTATTGAATTTTATCGGACTGGAGATGGAAGTTTTTTTCTGTAGAAGTTTCAGCTTCCATGCATTGGCATCGGTGATTTTGCAATAAACGAGTTCTCAATCTGTTATAGCACCCATTGTCACACCGTTCACATGATTCTTACGTCTTTTATTCCGTAAATTTTTTAAATTTCACCATTTAAGGTTTGAAGGAAACGTTAGATGCCAATTTCAGTTCTCCATGTCCGACCTTGTTTTTAGTTTTACTTCATATATATTTCAGCACGTAATCACATTTGCAACATAATGCTTAATTCATGGTTGAGACCATCACTAATCCTGATGTGGTAGGATTTTCACTCTGCATATTGATTTCATTTAGTTTTTGAAAAATCGTTACCATGGCCAAATTCCTTGTTTCTTCATGTATTCATCATGCATTTAAAGAACTGGGAGGTTCATTCATATTCTTTGAGCATGGAAAGTTTCTTCCGCCTAATACTTTTTTCCGGTTGTCCTTTATGTTTAAGTAAGAATTCAGCATGAGGCGGAGCTCAGGCAACTAGAAGAAGAGACTGCAAGGCGAGTCGAGGAAGCGGTGAGGAAAAACGTGGAGGAAAGGTTGAATTCCGAGGAAGTGAAAGCCGAAATAGACAAGCGGATCAAAGAAGCTCATGCCAAGATGTTTGCTGAGGTGGAAAGACAGCTAGAGAAAGAAAAGGAAGCTGCTCTCAACGAAGCTAGGCGGAAGGAAGTAAGTCTCTTTCACTTCCCTCATGTCTGGTCTTTAAACGACTGTTTGTACCCTTTTTTTTTCCGGAAAAACTGTGTTGTGATGTCGGAAAATGAGCAGGAGCAAGCTCGGAGAGAAAGGGAAGAACTGGACAAGATGCTGGAAGAGAACAAGAGGAGGGTGGAAGAAGCTCAGAGGAGAGAAGCATTGGAGCAGCAACGCAAAGAAGAGGAACGGTTTCGGGAACTGGAGTTAATCCAGAGACAGAAAGAGGAGGCGGCTCGAAGAAAGAAGATCGAGGAAGAAGAAGAGCTTATGAATTCTATCAATCTTCCGAATGGCACTAAATCTCGATCCAAAGGGCCCTTCGGCTTAGGTTTGTAGCAGGTCTTTGCGATCTGGGTTTTATCGGGTTTCGGTTGTTTTGTTGGAAAACGAAACCAGAGGAACCGAGTTGGAGTTTGAGTTTGAAATCCTTTTTGTTTAGGTTCTATCCATTTGTCGGATACAACGCGGAAGTACTTAAACTTGTGCCTTGGACTTTTGAAGTTTTTACGTCGATTCTTTCACCTCGGGATGTTTACAAGAGCATTTAGTCACTTTGCTTGTATATTCGGATTTTATAATTAAAATAAAATACAGAATAGATAAGTTAAATTTTGCAGAAACAGAATACAAATTAAATATTATAAGCCTGACGTAAAATACAAATTTCAAGTTTAAAAATTTTAAATTAACAATTTTTTTTTAAAATTTAGATTCTATCGTAATAATCTGAATCTTTGTTTTTGATAAAATTAGTGATAAGCATAAAATAAAAGAAGTTTAGATGATACGAGACAAGTGACAGCCAATGGATAAATCAATTAATTATTTATGATTTAGGTTTTCTTATTTTTAATTAATAGCTATAATTAATTAATATCACATATATTGCTATCGAAAACAATAATTAATAAAAAGGACAATCCTAAAAAACTTTCAATTATCTTACTTGCAAACAAAAATTATATTTAAAATTCATTATAAAAAATCATCTCCTATTAACTTTATACAAAAAAAAAATCATCAATTATATAAGTATTTAAAAATAATCTTTCAATTTAAATTTGTTACAAAAAATCATCACCTATTAATTTTTATAAAAAAATTCATCATCTATCTAAATTATTAAAAAAAATATTTTGTTAAAAACTTATTATAAAAATCTATAAAATTTAAATAGAAAAACCTATATAAATTATAAAATTCTAAAAATTAAAATAAAATAAAATATTTTTAAAATTTACCATATTGAAATATTTAAATTTTATATAAATATTTATAAACATCAATCTTTATATAATAAATTTGTATACAAATGTTATACTTAAATTGAATATATTTTATTGATTCTAAATATTATATTTAAGTTTTATCATATATTAATATTGTATACAAATTTATCATAATAAATTTAAAATATAATATTTTTGAGTAATTTGGATAGATCATGATTTTTCATTAAAATTAATAGTTGAAGATTTTAATAATAAATTTAAAATGAAAGATTGGTTTAAACAATTTATATAGTTGATGAGTTTGGGGTTTGGAGTGCGGCTTTATAGAGCTTTGGACGGGTTCGGGACGGGTTTCGAGTTTTTTTATTTAATTAAAAAAATTAATAATAATAATAATAACAATAAGGTTAAACTTAAACACAAAGCTTTTTTATATAACCTAATTTTTCAATATCTCTGCAGAGATGTAAAATGTAAAATGGGTAGTATCGAACGGATTTTGAGTGTTTTGGACCTAAATTTTTTCAATTCGGGCGAGTAAATGAAATGACATGACCTGTATATGAAAACCAAAACTGAACCGGCCCAATTGAAACCGAAACCAAACTGTAATTTCATCGGTTCTTCCTAATTGGCACTAATAGAACAAGATTCCAAACTGAACCCGAATCGAAAATGAACGAACCGAAACGAATTAACTTCCCAATCTAATTCGGTATAACCAGACTCCAACCGACAAAAACAGAACTGAAAAACCAAACAAAACATCCCAACCTAGAGATCCTAAAGCTAGAGGCAGTCCATATGCTTAGGGAAGAACAAAAGTAATATACTAACTGCAACTTGATTGAGCATACGATCAAGAAGAAAGATTTCACCAAAGTATTCAACATACGCGGTATTAAAAAGCAACAGCCTCAAATGCTATAACAAGTCTCGATCTAAAATGGGTATTACATAGAATTTAAGTTCTCGATCTGTACTATACTGAAAGAGACGACGGAAACGTTTCGGTTTTTTCTCGGTCTACATATAACACATTTTTTGTTTTCATAGACGAAAGCAAGAAACGGATATAGGAAAGCGCGGTTAAAAGACTTTGAATCGGGTTTTGGTTTGATATCTCACTGGGACAAAGGCAAGATACCCCACTGATGAAGAAACCCTTGTCCAGTGGTGACTTCAAGCACCAAAAGCACGAGCACTGCTAACATTGCCGCTCTTCCGTTCCATGTTTCCGCGCTTTTGGTCCATCCCCATTCCCACATTGTGACCGGCGGTGGCAGTTCCCTCCTCTGTGAATCATAAGTCGCCAGCAGTTCTTTCACACTCCCAAGCGGAACCAATGACTGGAAAGAAAAAACCCAACAGTTAGATACAAAAAGCATGGGTGAGATTTCAATTAAAACACTTCACATGATTGAAAACGTATGAGCCAAATCATTTTCTGCCACATTCTAGGATGTATTTTGTTAATTTATCTACTTGGGCATCATACACACACATCAATGTCAACAAAAAATTGAGCCCTTCATTGGAAGTTTCAGATTTTCAATCTGACTAGTTGTAATCTCTGTCCTGTTCAAAACAGAGTTTGAATCTCTAGCCAAACAAAACACGGCATGAGAAGATAAGATCGGCTCTGTTTTAGGCCGAAACAGGACAGAAGAAGTAAAGGGATGATATCTCCCTTTGTCAAGCATGAACACAAATGAATTGTACCTGTCGAGCTTCGAGATTTGAGACTGCCATAGCTCCAACATATGGAAGACCCTCAATAACCGCATCTGCCAAGTCAGAAATGAACACGGGTTCTGTTCCTAATGCAGGAACTCGTCCCCAGTTCTTGATTCCAGACTCCAAAGCAAGCTCTTTGTACTCCACATCTATCTCCTCCAGAGTTTCGATATGTTCGCTAACAAAGCTGTTCTTGTTAAAAAAAACCAAGTTACAATTCTAGAAAAATTCCAGTCTCAACAAAAAAAAAATAGTGGCTTGGCCGAGTCTCGTGCATAAAAGATGTTGATACCTAATGGGAACAGCCAAAAGACTTTTCACGCCCTTCTTTCCAAGGTCGGCGATGGTCTCATCAGTATATGGTTTCAACCATTCCACAGGTCCAACTCTGCTCTGTAAGAGTATCCAATATCTCCTTTAGTAATGACATGTAAACAACGAATTATAGGAAGAAAAACGGATGAAAACTGTTAACGATTGATTTCTACAAGTCCAAAGATGATGATCAATAAAAGACATCAAATTAAACTAACACAGACATTTGCAAATATTTTTTACAGAAATATTACAGTCTACCCCGAAAAGAAGGTTATTATCTTGGCGTTTTCAATTATTTTCTGGTGAGATATATAGTTAATTATCTTAGCTCTTAAACAAGTAAAAGAAGTGGAAAAATGGAAATAACCTGATAAGCAAGTGTGTATGAATTAGTAATATTTCTGTTCTCTAGTTCTTCCATGATTAAATCAACACATTCTTCCATCTCTGCCTTGTAAGGATCGCCGGCTTCTTCAACATATGCAAGTGGCACACCATGTGCACTGAAAAATATTACGACCTGTAACATATATATATGTATATTACGGTTTAAACCAGGTCAAGAGAGTTCAACAGTAGCAAAACCAAACAAAACTAATCGAACAGTCTAGGCAGACAAGAAAAGAAAACGCGATGGAAGAGATAAATTGGTTATAAATAATATAGTGCGAAGACAAGAAATCAAGAGAAAATAAATTGATCGGAAAGTTAGATGGAAGAGATCATTTACCTCACTTGGGGAATCAAATTTTTCTAACTCTTTCTGAATCAAGTTTGCCATTGCCTTTATGTATCCCTCTCGCTGATACCATGATGGTATAACAGTATGCTGCATGTTCACTAGGTACTCGTCCTCCCTATGTAAATAGCAAGTCCATTAGCAGACAGGCAAACAACATATGGATTTTACGTACCGGTAAGTGTAAAATGTGCAACTACCTGAATATACTCTCCAAGAGTCGGAGACTTGACCCACTAGTTGATATTGAAAACTGCGGATAAAGTGGTAGAACCACAAGTTTTGTGATTCCATCTCTTTTTATCTGTACAAAGAAATAGATCCCAAATACGTATAAGAGTCACAGGATATAAAGAACAGGGAGAGACAAAAGTGACTACAGAAAATGCCACAACACATGAAAATATAGGAATAGTTCTACGTGAAGAAATCAGTTGTAACTAATAAATAATGATTGCAAGAAAAAAGTATTGTTAAAGCGCAAACGAGGGATTTAACTTGACGAATTCAAGCGTTAACAGTAGAGCAACAAAATATTAACTCAAGGTATCTTAGGACATTATCCAAGTACAGTACCTGTTCAATAGCTTCCTCAGTGAATGGATGCCAATACCGCATACCAACATACACCTTTGCAGGGACATTCTTTGCCCAGAGGGATTTCCTTAGTTCTTCAGCCTGGTAAAGGTAGTATATCGGATAAAACCAAAACATAATAAAGAATAACAGAAGGGATTTCCCAGAATAAGGATAAGAACTAACAGTATGTGCAGCAAAAGAAAGAAGCTAATCTAATATAATAGACGTAAGAAACTAGCTATTCATGTGGGAGAATTTTATGCATATCTAAATGATGTGAAAAATTTGTCCATTTTTCACCAAAAATCTCAACAATCGACGACTTTGAAGCAGGAGGGTTAAGTGTGAAGACACTTGTTTACAAAGTAGGACAGAAAAATTAAAACACCTGTAGGCATTAGGCATCCCCTTTTGATCTGTGCAAGATTACTTGACTGGCCATTCTAATGCGAACACATAAACCATAAAATGCACACGGTAGACGAAAAGGCTAGCTCTGTCCTTTGTTTTTTGATTCAGTAATATCCTCATTACAAGATCAAAGTTCCAGAGATTGAAAGGATCTTCTAGGAAACTAGGAAGAAAATCCACTTAGCATATGTAATATGAGCTGAAGATGGATATTAGATTAAAATCCATCTGAAAAAAAAAACGAGAAAAGGTGATCTACTTAACAAATGTTGCAATACAAGCAAATAAAGAATTACCTGAGCATCTGTTATGCGACGAAGCGGAGAACCACCACCAATCGATGCATACCCTTCCTTGCTTTTAGGTGCCCTTGCAACTGATATAAATTGTGCCAAAGGCTTCTGAAGAAAGCGAAACAGCCGTGGCAACCGTATAATGTCCTGCCAATTGTACAAGAAACACATGTAGGCATTATGAACAAACCAGTGAAGATGAAATGATACCCTAAAAAACGCAATCCCTTTTATACACCAAGTTGCAAGCAGCAAACAGAACAATCTATAAAAAAAGTTAGTAAAAAAAGTTTTTGCTTCTGTCTACAAGCTGTTGTTTTAAACATAATGACTAGTCTTGTTCAACATGATAGTAAAATATTATTGTTTTTGAATGAAAATCAGTTACATATACATGAACAAAATTTTCTTGATTTACAAACCAAACATAACTAAGTACTTTAGCATAACCCTACCATGAAATCAAGGAACTAAAATGGGCATAAACACTAGATGCAGAGAATATACCGGATCAGCAAAGAGGTTAAACAAAAACGGTTGCACATCATCCAGAGTCTCTGGACCTCCAAGATTCAATAACAGAACTCCTATTTTCTCATCACTGATTAGAGGCGGAGAAGACATGTCTGAAGGAGAGGCCACCAATGCTCTCAACGGCAACAGAGTCCTGCCAAGGAGGCAGTTGGAGCCCAAGGGCTCAGTCTCCAACCATCCCCGAGAATACCCTTCCGGTGAAGTTGAAGTAATACACATCCCAAATGGTAATCTTGAATAAGGCAGCAATCTCTGAGAACTGTGTCTGGCTCGTGGCAATAGTCTGTATCAGCAAATCCCATTTGAGCAAACATCTAGAACCACTGGTTACCCCTCAATTATGCAGCAATATGGCTCAAAACCTCAACAATTTTGCGGTACACATAACACATTCAATGAGTTCTATGGCAAAACATCTAATAATTGTTATATCATGCAACAGCAATGATGTTTCGCGGCTCTTTGAATGGAGTAGATCATTCCAGTCATCAATATTTACTTCTTCGTTTTGTCGAAAACTTGATTTTAGTCATCAATTCTATTTCGGGAAGGCTCGTTTACTTATAAACTTCAGCAAATTTGGAAATATGTGACTCAAGACTTCTCATTTCAGTTTAAAAAAAAAAATTAAAACCACGATTAGCTTCGACCTGGCAAACTGTAGAAATTTTATAATAAAGCTAAGATTTTGATAATTGTCCGTTTGATTCGCACTTTCATTACAAAACTGCACAAGTAAAAGAAAAAGAAGAACATTAAATCAAATAGCGCACAGGAAACTTACAGAGGAGGACGAAACGTGGAGGAGTATGGGGAGGAAGAAGAACAAGGAGAAGGAGATGAATTCATCGATGGGCAATTCATGACGAAACCCTAAAACCCCAATCGGATTTTTAGAAAGAAGATTGAAAAGTAGGAGAATGGGAATGGGGTCTCATGGAGATTTTTTTTCCTCCTCTTTTATGGGAGAGAGACGAACTACGTATACATTTACTTCCCCCTTTTCATATATATATATTTTTTTGACAATTTCTTGTAAAATTTCTGTAGATGGGCTGAGAGACTGAGAGGAGAGGCAGGCAGATGAGCGCTTGACCTGAGGACGGAGAACCACACGTGGCGTTTTAGCTCGATAATCACCAAACCCTTTTTCCTTATTTTTTATCTGCTACTAGGGGTTGGACGAAAGTGTTTGGATTCGAGACGGGAATAGATCGGTTCGATTCTTTCGATTTTATAAAAATAGGTATCAATCGGTTTTTATATTGTATTCGTTTCGGTTCAGTTTCGGTATCGGTTCGGTTCGGTTTCGGATTTTATTAAAAAAAATGATAGATTTTCTTTAAAATTATTCGGTTTTTCAGGATTTTTAAAGTTCGGTTCGATTCGGTTCCCAAAAAATTCGGTTTTCTAAAAATAGTATCGTTCGGAAATTAAGAATGGTTTCGGATCGGGAAAAATATTATTTTTTCGGTTCAGTTCGATCCGGTTTCGAGTAAGCGAACTGAAATGTCCAGCCCTATATGCTACTGCTAGCCCTGTTATTTCGATTTTATTTTAAATAAAGTTTTTTAAAGTTATCAAAATGAATGATATATCATATTATTTTGTTAAAATTTGATATAAAAATTATATCATATAATTTTTTTAGAACTGCAAATTTGAATAAAATAAAAAAATATTCAGAAAATAAGCATTTGTTTATAAAAATATAAATGCCCAGCAAAAATTCAACCGAAGCTAATTTAAATCCAACCTAAAACTAAATAGATATAGATTTTAAAACAAACAAAAACTCTAAATTTGAAATTAACAAGGGCCAAATCCGAATCGAACTCCAAAATGTGTATCCCTAAAATCTTATACTAGAGTCAAGTTTCTCACTATTTAATAAATTAAGAGATTAATAAAAAAAATATATACTAGACTTCGAGTTTCTCACGATCTAATAATTTTATTAGACATTAATAAAAAGGATCTAAGGATAAATGTAATTAATAAAAATTAAAAGAAGTGTGTTCAGAAATTAAATAGGAAATTTTTCAATTTTTATTTGAATAATTTATATCCAGAAAAATATTACATAATCATGTCATTTAGATGTTGTAAATAAAGGTTCCCTCACATTCGCTACGAGTCTTACTTCAATTATTCGATGTCGTACAAACAAGAAACAAAGAACAAAAGATGAAAAAGAAACAAGGAAGTTCTTACGAATTCAGTCAACAAGCGAGACTCGTGCCTAAATTTCAGTCGGACGACACCGACAATATACTAAGAACCACCGTTTGCATGCAACGAACTCCAACGATCTCGACAAACCCAAAGTTCGACGATTCAACTCCGACAAAAGAAGTCGAAAGAGAGAATGACAAATACAAATCGTGATTCAATCCCGATGGCCAGACTTCGCCGCCTCCGATGACCTCTATCTCCTCCTCTTCGTCTCCTGCTCTGAAAAAGTGCCGCACACGTCCAAGAATAGATGAAAGGGATGGATTGTTTAGAACAAACCAAAACCTCCTGAAGAAATAGAAACTACTATTTACCTCCCTCGATCACGAATAGTGACCAACCCAATTACCTCACAACGAAAAAACAGGTTGCCTCCTTTCTCCACCATGAACAATCACTGCTTTCTCGCAGTCCTCCTGCCTGAGTGTTACTCACCGAACCATTCGAGAACCAACTCCTTTCTGAGTCGACTCCTGCTCAATCTTGTCGCTAGTATTGTGACCTCTTAAGGTTTTTCACTCCGAAACAATGACTGAGCATCCGAATCTCCGTTGACAGCCAGGTAATGATCCATGCGTCTTCCCTTAATAGATATTTAGCTTGTTTTTTTATTAAAATTTTAATATTTTATTACATTTTTAATATATTTAAATTTTATTTTTTAGTCATGTATTTGACTATTGAGATGACTTGCTTGACTCGTGATTTAAGGTGAGTCGGGTCGATTCAAATAATTTTTTACTCGCTAAAAAATCGAACGGGATGTGCGGAGCTAAAAAAAAATAGATCGAATGAGTCGAGCCAATCCATTTTACACCCCCAATTGAATGACCATAATATCTATATACAACTCTAGCAATAATATTAGCCATAATATTACTGGGAAAACAAGTCTCATTCCCTATATATTTTATCATAATTAATGTATAAATATTATACAACTATCCACAAAACACAACTTTAAAAATCCAAATTACGATACAAAAGCAAACATTTAATTCAAATATCCTGGGTTGAAGCATAACACAAACGCCTATATAATACAACGGCCATCATCACAATCGCAATGCAGTCATGCATGATTAGATAATTTCATATCTTATACTCGATACATCTCATGACTACGCTTCCTTTTCTACACATCTTCCGGATTGTATTCTTCATCATTGGCGTCCAAATATTCCTCCTCTTCTTCCTCCTCCTCATCTTCTCCTCCGGCGTGGCCAGAAGGCTTTGGGACAGTTCTTGCCTCTCCGACAATCTTCATGATCTCCTCCACACTTTGAGGAGAAAAGCTCTGATTGTTCCTCTGATAATACACTGCTTGAGCCGACTCTGTCAGCTCCCGTGGCAAGTTCTTTAGGAACCATGGGTGGTTTTTTACTTCTCTGAGTGTGATTCTCTGTAACAAATGACAAAGTTATCGGAAAATATGGATCACGAACATTAATCTTATCAGGAATATAATTTCATTATAGATTACTCTAAGCCTCAAACTAATCTTGGAGACGGAAGCAAACCATATAAATACTCCCTCCCCGATTTGATACTTGAACTCAGGACGGAATAGATTTACACCCATCTCACCGGTTCAACTACCCAAATTGGATAGATTACTCTACCTTTTCATATTTACCTCATATTTCTCGGTAAAGGTATAATGAAACTTTTTTGCGACGTATATAGGAAGAATACATATAATCACCTTGAGTGGGTTGGCGACAAATATACGAGTGAGTATGTTTCTACAGTCCTGAGATATGTGAACGTGCGTAGGGATTTTGTACTTGACGGCCATTATCTTCTGCAACAATGGCACGGGTGATTGCGTTATTACAAGGGAGAATTCCATTAAAAAACCCACATTAATACATCCTAAACTTTCAAATATAATTATCAAAAAAAATCGTAATTGATTGACGCATGACCGTTAAAATCTTTAACACGCCATCGGATTCCGTCATCGAATGCAATGTACCTAAAGAGAAGCATGATATATAGCTATTTTTTCAAGTCAATTACTGATCATGTGTTGATGCGGTATAATTTTCGAATTGTGATTTATATTTAAAAATATAATATATTTGGTGTAGAATAATGTTACAATATATATGGAAACTCTCAATAATCAATGTTACACGTAAAAATGAGAACGTAGTATAATTTACCTGAACGGTTTTTCTGAAATTGCGAGGGTCTTTTGGATCATCGAAGGGATAGGCTCCCACCAGCATGACGTAGAGTGCAACTCCACATGACCACACGTCGGCTGACTGGCAAAAAAATATAAAATAATATCTTAATTACAAAATAATATATATATATATATATATATGTGATACCTACCTATATATTTTATATTTTTTGTATGACTCATAGAAATGTTTTTAAGATATTTTTTTTCGTGGAACGTGAATAAATTAGGCAAGTTTATCTTTCAATTGATGTATCCTATAACAAATATTAAGATGACACGAAATTACAGAATAACTTTGGTCAAATCCATTTGACAATGACAATCTAACTGAAACTATACATTCTACAGAATAACAAATATTTATATTATTTAAGCTTATTTTGACCCGAACCCATTCATGCATGAGGCATGACTGGCAAAGAATTTTTTTAAAAAAAAAATTGTTGAGTCGGGAACTGTATCATTTGAACATAATATTATAAAAATTATTATCGTTTTGAATTAAAACAATATTATATATATATATATATATTTCATAGAAATAATAAATTAAATTTATAGGGTACATGCACCATATCTCCCAAAATAAATCCCCCTCGCTACGTACCAATTAAAAAAACCCTAACAAGTAGCCACTTAAAAAAAGGAAAAATCTTTGTCGCTTTCAGACGAGAGACATGATAAGGCCGTGATTTATGTAAGGACAAATAAATTAAAAAAAACATTTATAATTAATAGTTCTCTTCTGTTCCCATCTAGTTAATTATCCTATAGTTTAGTTTCCAAAAAAATAGTATTAATATATTCCTTCATGTATTTATAAATTTTCACAAACGTGTCATTATTAACCCACCACCCTCATGGAATTTGTCGTCTACTTCTCCTTTTCCCACTTTTTCTTGTTTTATTTTTATAGGCGCTATTGAAAGTGGAATACCTACTTCGGCGCGCACATGCATCGCAGAATGTAAAATCATCTAAATTCATTTATATGTATATGTGTGTATATATATATGTTATGGATTATAAAATTTGGGGAAAATTGTAATTACTTAGCCAGAAGAGTGTTCATATACACTATTGACGTAGTTAAAACAAGGATGATACACGTATTTTTCTTTCAGTTGAAAAATGTATTTTGGAATTTCTTAGAAAAAATATTTCCATATGCAACCAATTCTTGCATTTACTTTTAAATTATTACAAGCACGCATATATATATATATATATATATAGCATGCATATGTATACATATTATGACAAAAGAAGGTTACCTTGCCATCATATTCTCGGTGACACAAAACCTCCGGTGCTATGTACGCCGGAGTTCCGACAGTTGATTTCGGACTTGAATGCAGCACAGAAGACTGTATATATATATATA